TGGGGTGGGGGGAGTTGGGAATTATGTTACCATACACAAAAATCAAAATGACAGTAGGTTGCATTCTTGAGTATAAAAGACTTTGTGAAACTGTGGAAGAAAATGTCAGAAACTTTCTTAATGACCCGAGTCTCAGGAAGAATTTTAGAATGTAAAAAGCCGTAATTGAAACCTATATATTTACATTAAAATTATCATCTTGAAATTCATCAAAAAACATCATAAAGTAAAAGATGAGCCTTAAATTTGGAGAAAATATTTGCAACATATTTAACAGAAGATTGATACCAAAATATATGGAGAATTTGCAGAGAAGTGGGAATAAAAAAACACTCAAAATGTTTGGTGGCCAACAAACATACAAATAGGCACAGCCTCGTTAAATCAGAGAAATTAGAACCACAATATGATCATAGTGGATGTGAAGTCATTGTTAGTAGGATTGCAAATCATTGCAGGTATAGTCACTCTGGGAAACATGGTGGCACTAACTAGAAAAGATACATATGTGTGTATTCTGTTTCTTACACTTCCGAGAGAAATTCTTGCTTATTTGTATCAGTGCACATGTATAAGAATGCCTGTAACACCATTGTTTCTAATAGCAAATATATGAAAACACATGTTTGTCAACAGAGTAGATAAGTTTTTGGCATATTCCTATGTAGTGAAAATAAGTGAATTAATTTACAACAGCATAAATGAATCTTGGAAAACCAGTGTGTACCAGAAGCAAGGTTTAAAGTAGTGTCACTCCATTTACACAGTGTAAAAATAAGCAAGCTGTTCAGGTACTTTTGTGTTACATGTATAGGTGGTAAAACTTTAAAGAAAAGCCACAGTATGACTCTCATATTAGGATAATATTATTGCTGGTGGTGGGGGAAGAAGGGAAAGGGAGATTCACTTAGGGAGGGGGGCATATGGAGTTTCAAAGGTATTGTTCCTTTTTTTTTTTTAAGATTTTATTTAAAAAAATTTTTAAGGTTTATTTATTTTTGAGAGAAGAGAGAGAGCACACAAGTGGGGGAGGGCAGAGAGAGAGATACACAGAATCTAAGCAGGCTCTAGGCTCTGAGCTGTCAGCACAGAGCCCATTGGGGGGCTCAAACCCTCGAATTGTGGGATCATGACCTGAGCTGAAGTCAGACGCTTAACTGACTGAGCCACTCAGGCGCCCCTCAAAGATTTCATTGTTGAGTAATCTCTCCACCCATTGTGGGGCTCAGACGTACAACTCTATCAAGTCTCATGCTCCACTGACTGAACCAGCCAGGCACCCCTCAAAGGTATTGTTTTCTAACCTGGCTGGTAGTGAATACACAGGTGTGTTACCTTTTTTTTTTTTTTTTTTGAATGTAGAAGTGTATATGATATAATTTATAGTAAAGTAAATGGGGAATCAGAGAGTCAAAGGGCAATGAATTAGTGATGATGGAATACAGGAATTTTCTCAAACCAGAGAATGGTGATTGTGCTAGAGGGGCTATGTGGGAAGATTGTACCAGGTTCTAGGGAAAGATACTTCGAATTCTGATTGGTCTCTGAGCTGTAGTTCCTTATCTGTATCAACAACTGCACATGATCCCTATTAACAACTATCCCTATTAGGATAAAATACTTGTTTTTGATTTAGTGATAATCATAATGATTTCTTTCCCTTGAAAAATGTTGTATATATGTATCCCTCTTTTTATTATATTACTTAACAGGTGTGTACTATTTGACTTTGGAAAAAATCAAATCATAATTTTTATTACAATTAAAAATAAGAAATTTGAGTATCTCACTTGAGCTATATGTAAAACATTTTTTAAAAAAACCTTTAAAGGTATATTGGATAAAGTTAGACTTAAAACATTTTTTAGAGGCCACTTTTGTTAAACATAATCAAAACCCCATCCTGCAGATATTTCTGGTTATTTCATCCACTGACCAAAAAGCATACACTTGAGATTTGATTCATTCATTAAGCTCTAGTCTTTATTAATTTCTTCTTATTGGACTTTCATATTTCTTTGTTCCTATTAGATGAGTAAACTGGACCCTGGTAGAGATAAGCGAACAGTTTCTCCTTTCTCAACATTTCTGTCTTCTTAAACCTCTAGAGCTTAGTCTCAACTGGTGAATTAGCTGCTTTTGACTCTCATTTACTTGTGGCCTAAGGCTTTCTGCATTTGTAAGTGAACTTCTGGAGGTACAGCTATTGAGGACTGCTGATAATGGGCTTTCAAAAGAGAATCTTGATTTTCTTTATCCTCTTTCTGTAGTCTGTCTGATTTCTGTAGTCTGTCTTTGGAAATTAAGGTCCCTGTGAGATTGTGTGACCTGTAGTTCTTTAGGTCCTATAGTCTGCTCTTCGTTCCCAAGGTAAGTTGGAATATTGTAGTAGATGCCTAACAGGAATGTGGTATTGGTCTTGCTTTTGCAACATGATACACTTTTCCTCATTCTCATTATTGTGGTACTTCTGTTGGTAATTGCATGGAGACCCCCTGTCTCTACTCTTCAACAATCTCAGCTACAGCCTCTTCATTTCCTGCTGAAAGTTAGTATTCGTGGTATTTAAATATATCTTCTTTGTTGTAGTAACCTTGTTCGTACTCATGGGTATTACTGTTTTGAGGCTGGGTTTCACTACTTTGAGACCTAGTAGCTGCTGGCTCTCAGACTCACTAATTATGTTGTGGAGATGGTGATGAATGTGGGGCTTGATGCAGCAGTGGGGATTCCTCCTAGATTATAATGGAGACCATCAGGGCAGCTCATGGCTCTCTGGGGTTCACTCTTCACTTCCACTACCACTTAAACTCAGTTTCTCTTTTTCTTTTTTAAGTTTGTTTATTTATTTATTTTGAGAAAGAGAGGTCCAGTGGGGTGGGGCAGACAGAGTGGGGAGAGAATCCCAAAGCAGTGCAGAGCCTTATGTGGGGCTTGAACTCATGAACTGTGAGATCATGACCTGAGCTGAAATGAAGAGTTGGACGCTTAACCCACTGAGCCACCCAGGCACTCCTCTCTCTTTTTCATAACCTGTAGCAGCTTTGTAGATGTACTGCTTGGGTCTCTCTTTAACAAACTACTTACTGTTCCTTCAGCTCCAGGGAGTACATGTAGCTGACAGCCTCTAGCTGTTAATTTAGGCTCCTAAGATTTTGAGTTGAGGCCTTGTGTTTCCTAGGAAACCTCCTGCTACTGACTGAGCATGGTGTGGGTTCTAGGGTGTTTCCATTTTGTCCCAGTGTTGGACTGTTCTAGTGGGCAGTCTTTGCTTTGGAGTACTTTACTGGGTTGTCCAGAACATTGTCAGATCTTTGTCAGGGTCTGAGGCTCTGTCTGCTGAATCCTGTTTTATATCCCCTTTCCTTCACTGATTTTAGATCCATTTGAGTCTGAAAGTTTTCCATCCTCAGTCCTGTTTTACTCCCCCCCGCCCAGCTTTTATCTTTCATAATAAAATTCTTGTCCTTGAACATCTGCTTCCTGGAGGACCCGACTGACACATACCACTTCTGTTGGTTGTTTACCTAATTTCTGTCCAATCACATTGGTAGTGAATGTTGTCTCATTTTCCCCTTTTTAAGCCTCTCCCTTGAATCTTCTCAGTATTTTCCAGTTCATCATTTCTGTCTACCCTTAATACCCGATTGTCTAATGTCCACTAATCTTAGTAAATGCCTTATTTTTACAATAATATTGTTTCATATACTGTGTATCTGGTTTTTTTTTAAGATTTTTAAAATTTATTTTTTTTTCAACGTTTATTTATTTACTTTTGGGACAGAGAGAGACAGAGCATGAACGGGGGAGGGGCAGAGAGAGAGAGAGACACAGAATCTGAAACAGGGTCCAGGCTCCGAGCCATCAGCCCAGAGCCTGGCGCGGGGCTCGAACTCACGGACCGCGAGATCGTGACCTGGCTGAAGTCGGACGCTCAACCGACTGCGCCACCCAGGCGCCCCTTTTTTAAGATTTTTAAAGAGGTATAAAGTGTATTAAGGTAAATTATAAATGCCCCCAAGGATTTCATTCAGGAAATACATATGAAACCTATTAAATAATATAAAAATGCACATCTGTAATATAGTTTCTGTCCTTCCTTGAAGAATAATCAAATGGGTGGGTAAGATGAAGACAAATAAGTAAGAAGTACACACGCACACACACACACACACGCATCTAAAACCTTGATCTGCTTCTAGGAATTTGTCCCAAAGAAATAATCTGACAAGTGTAAAATAATACACGTGCAGTAGTATTCATTGCACTGTTTTTAATAGTAAAAAATTGCATACAACCTAAGTACCATGAATAGATATTAAATAAGTTGTAATAAACATAATGGAATATTCTGTAATAATTAAAAATAATTACTTAGTTCTTTGGTTATTAACAAGTAAGATCCACAGTCTGCTAAGAGAGGGAAAACAAGTTTAATACGTTACATAGGACACCCTGTCTCTACAAATGGTAAGTAGTAGAACTGTCAAAGAAAGTAAGGTATAGAATGGATTTAGATAGGCAGCATGAAGAAAGAGAACATTTTAGATTACAGTTTCCAACCTTTTTGGACGTGGAGTCCTTTTCTCAATATTTTAAAAACAATGTCACTTTGTCCAGTATATGATAGTGATTTTTACATACAAAGTGTTTTATATTAGTATAGTATTAAAAAGTGCTCTCTGAATTTTTTTTCTGTTTTATAGTTAGTATCATCGCATAGTAAAGAAATTTTTTAATGATTAGAAGTATATAAGATTTCAGGCATTCTCTGCCACTATGTAACCATTTTTTCATGTATGTTGAAAACAAATTTTCAGTCTAAACCAATTTCTCGAGTTTCTGGTCTTAACAGCATATCTTTGATCCCATAGACAAAGTTTATTCACAAATCCTGAGAGTCTGGAAATCCCTTGTAAGAAAAGTAGTGTCGTTTTCTTACCATAATTTATTACCGTAATTTATGACATCTTAAAAATGTATGTTTTATTCCCACTTAGGCCGAATACATCAAGCAATGGTAACATCTTTAAATGAAGATAATGAAAGTGTAACTGTTGAATGGATAGAAAATGGAGATACAAAAGGCAAAGAGGTATTATCACTGGGTTAATTTTTTATTTATTTATTTATTTTTGAGAGAGTAGGAGCAGGGGAGGGGGCAGAGGCAGAGGGGAGTGGAGGGAGGGAGGGAGGGGGAGAGAGAGAGTGAGAGAGGGAAGAAGGGAGGGAGGGAGGGAGGCCTAAGCAGGATCCATGCTCAGTGTGGAGCCCAATGCTGGACTTAATCCCACAATCCTGGGATCCTGACCTGAGCTAAAATTAAGAGACGCTCAACTGACTGAGCCACCCAGACACCCCTAAATTTTTTTTGATTGTAGTTTTAAATAATCTCTACACCCAACATGTGGCTCGAGCCTACAACCCCAAGATCATGAGTTGCATACTTTACTGACTGAGCCAGCCAAGTGCCCCAATCACTGGTTTAAATTTTATTTCTAGTCCCACAATCAAGGTTCCAAATATAAAACAAAACAGAGGCTCCTGGGTGGCTCAGTTGGTTAAGTGTCCACCTTCGGCTCAGGTCACTATCTCATGGTTCATGGGTTTGAGTCCCATGTCGGGCTCTGTGCTGACAGCTCGGAGCCTGGAGCCTGCTTTGGATTCTGTGTCGTCTTCTCTGTCTGGCCCTCCCCTGCTCATGTTCCGTCTCATAAATAAAACATTAAAAAGTTTAAGACAGAGATATATAATTTTTTACATAGTGCATGTATTCTTTATCATTGTTTGAAAAACTTAAAAATGATGAAAAAATTTCACTCAAAGATTGGTAGGTTCCTCTTCAATATGGTAAGTGATGGGACATATAATCAAGACCACAAAATGCTGTCTTTTAAAACAAATTTAATGTTTATTTATTTTTGAGAGAGAGCAAGCACAAGCAGGGGAGGGGCAGAGAGAGAGAGAGAGAGGGAGACACAGAATCGAAGCAGGCTCCAGGCTCTGAGCTGTCAGCACAGAGCCCGACGTGGGGCTCGAACTCACGAACCTCGAGATCATGACTTTAGCTGAAGTCGGACTCTTAACCAGCTGAGCCACCCAGGTGCCCACAAAATGCTGTTTGAATACAGATTCTTTAAATATGTGTGGGTTGTAATTGTAGATAATATAGTTTTCAAGGCAGTATCAAGTATCAAGCCAAAATCATTTAACAATTATTCTCTCTGTGTAAATTTGTAAAATAGTGTCAAAATTTACTCTCAAAATATATGCATTTTTTAAAACAGATTGATCTCGAGAGCATCTTTTCACTTAACCCTGACCTTGTACCTGATGAAGAAATTGAACCCAGTCCAGAAACACCTCCACCTCCAGCATCCTCAGCCAAAGTAAACAAAATTGTAAAGGTTAGTGATGAAAATTCAGAGCATGGGTGGGTGGGTGTGTGGGCTAAGGGTCTGGTTTGAAATGACAGTCTGTGAAGAGTATGTTTTAAGCATTAGTTTGCTTTAAAAAAACAAACTGTAATATTTCTGCCATCTTCATGTCATGTATATGCTTACATCCTTTGAAGGATCGAGGTTGTCCAGTTGACAGTTAATGATCATCATTAGGTAAAATCCTAGGAATTCCTTTCCTGATTAGGATTTTTCCTAAGACTAGTAGCTTCTCAGGAGATATGGATGTCAAAACCATTTGCTGTCCATATTTGTTGAATGATACATATGACTTAGGTAAAGAAGGAATGTTGATTTTTCATAATAAATTCCCACTCCACTAGTCTTCTGAAGTAGTGATTCTGCTACTTATGTTCATTAGAGAAGGATGGGAAATGATAGAATGTAGTTTAACTACTGTGTTATCTGTAAAGATGAACTTTAAAACCATGCCGTATATCCTCCCTAAGAGTTTTATCTTTACAAAAATAAAAGCCATGTTGTTTTTATTATTTTAAAAGGTAATGCTCGTCCTTCCTATTGAAATTTCTCACAATTAAAATTGTATATCAAAATGCAACTCTTTTTAAACCAGGTCGCTCACACCATTGTTTGATCTGTAGTTCTTCATCTTGAGGCTTCAAAAAGTATTTGTTGATTTTGTCATGTACAGGTATAACATTAACCCTATAGGAATTTGGTATCTTGAAAGGAAGATATACAAAAGCATCCAAATACAGTGTGACGGGAGCTTAACATTATCAACAAAACATTCTACTTTTTAAGTTCTGCATATGAACATAAGGCAGATTTTCAGTTCATGTAATTTAACTAGGATATTGAGTGTCACTGCTTAGAGGTCTTTAGTTATGACTTGTAGATGGACTGTTTTTCATATTTGACTTCACAGCCTTGAAGGATCTTCATCGTTGATCCTTAGTATGTCATTAGCAGCCTTTGCTGTGCATTAAAATCACTTGGAGAATTTTTTAAAATACTGATGCTTAGCCCACTTTCAGCGATTCATTTTATCTAAAGTGAGGCCCTAGAATCAATATCCTTTTATTAGTACCCATCTGATATAAATTTGCAAATGTTCTCTCTAGCTTTGAGAACCACGACATTTTTTGATATCTTTCTTTTCAGGTGACTAAAATGAAGTCTTGGTAAATAAATAATAGGATCAAAAATTTGCTGCTCTAGTGTATGCAGTGTTGGGAGTCTTTGAGAGTCCAGTGAAATCTTTTAGTAGAAATGAGAGAAAAAAAGAAATGACAGTGAGCATTTCATGGTATTTTGATGTTTAACAGTAGATTGTAAGTTGTCTAAAACTGGTATTTTATTGATTACTTCCACGTCCAAAGATGAAATGTAATACATGCTTTTGAAATGTATTACATGGTTGTAGCATGATGACTACAACTATACCTTTTACTGAAATTGCTTAACTTCACTTTGCTTCAGTTTTCTTATGAAACCAGAATAATAGTAACTACCTCATAGGGTTGTTGTGAAGGTTGAATGAATTAATATTAACAGTGTCCGTCTCATACTAATTCCTGAATATTGCTTTTTGTGCGGAGGTGGTGGCCAATACTCATATGAAGAAACTTGAATATTGCTAGCATTAGTGTAGTAATTTATTAGCAGATTATTTATAGTTTTTTCCATTTAGTTTTATAATGTATTTTTAAAAAAATTTTTTAATGTTTTTATTTTATTTTTGAGAGAGACAGAGTGCGAGACAAAGCGAGAGAGAGAGGAGACACAGAATCCAAAGCAGGCTCCTGGCTCTGAGCTGTCAGCACAGAGCCTGACATGGGGCTTGAACTCACGAGCCATGAGATCATGACCTGAGCAGAAGTCGGACGCTTAACTAACTGAGCCACCCAGGCGCCCCTAGTTTTATATTTTGTATTCACCTACTTTCATTTAATTAAAGAAAGCTGAAATTATGATAAATATCTGAGGAGTAAAGAGAGAAAGTAAACGAACATTTTTTTGTTGTATAGAATCGACGGACTGTGGCTTCTATTAAGAATGACCCTCCTCCAAGAGATAACAGAGGTAAAGTAAACATTTCTCTATAATTTTTCCTATTAACTTTTTAGTATGACCCTGACAAAGTAAATGAAAAGTTAATATCACGCTTGACATTATTATTCATTTAAACTTTACCTGGCTAATTTGAAGGTTGGCTATCAGAAATTCCCTAATATAATAATGTCAATAATATGAAAAACGATTTATAAAGGTACATGATGAATGTGAAACTCCATAATCTGTGCACTTTTTGATTGATCTCTTTACCTAGTAACTTTTCAGATTTGAGAAGAGTTATCATGAGAAAGAAAGGAATGGGGAAGTAGTCAGTTAATTGATTTCACAAGACTAAATCTAACCTTCACATTTTAATGTGACTTTTTGGCTAACAGTCTTCCAAAAAGAGTCATGGGTAACTTGGGAGTCAGTTAAAGAAAAGTTGAATAGGTACAATTTGTAGTTAATTGCAGGTATTCCATATATTTTCAGCCCAGAAATGTAAAACACAGTTAATTTCTTTTCTTTTCAGCAATTCAGAATTGTCATTTCTAGCAGTGATAATTTCTCTGTATGTGAAGGACAGGCATAGGTATTAGAAGAGAGATTGGAGGTAGAGGCAAAGTCCTACACTTTAAACCTATCCTTCCTTTGAGTCTTGTGAAAATTTATATTGGCTATGTGAAATGTGATATTCATATTTTACTTTATATTTATTTTTTCACTTTGGTAACATAATCATTGGGAAATTCTTTGCTGAAGATTTGCATATTTGAGGAGCAGAGAGTGGGATTTGGAATTACAGGCAGGGTTGAAGGGCTTTTTTTAAAACTTTATGTACAGACTTGGGTAAATTTTTCAAAATGACAGTGCATTTAAATTTAAAATTTATATTTGCTACACTTACATTATTTAAATGATTATTAAGAGTTAGGCTTGGCTTTAGTTTTTATATAAATTATTCAGAATGAGTTGTTTCTTTTTTTAAAATATATTTATTTATTTTGAGAGAGAGAATGAATGGGGAGTGCAGGTGGAGGAGAGGCAGAGAGAAAGGGAGAAAATCCCAAGCAGGCTCCACACTGTCAGCAGAGACCGACGCAGGGCTCTAGCTCACGAACGGTGAAATCATGACCTGAGCCAAAGTCGGACACTTAACGAACTGAGCCACCCAGGCGCCCCTCAGATTGAGTTTTGTAGCTTAAATTACATGGGTGGGACCGAAGTCCACACACATTCCTGTGAAAAACCTCTTGGCTTGTTAGATTATTGAACAGAATTGATTGTTCCATACTTTATTTATACCCACGTAAGTAGAAAATCTGAGAGTTGACTAATGTACCTCTTAAGTATCTGTTCTTTTGAGGTCTCTCTGTTCCTTTTACTAGGGTTCATCTTTACTAATTTTCTGTTCTGAATTTAAAAATTGTTTCATTTACAGTGGTTGGTTCTGCACGTGCACGGCCTAGTCAGCTTCCTGAGCAGTCTTCCTCCGCACAACAGAATGGTAGTGTTTCAGATATATCTCCAGTTCAAGCTGCAAAAAAGGAATTTGGACCCCCTTGTATGTAAATCATGTACCAAGGATTCAGTTATTTTAGGCATACATGTATTCTCTCTTGGTCATCTTTAAAGTCTCCAAATGGTAAAGTTTAACTACAAACGATTGCAGATTTCATTTTACCACTGTGGAAAAATTTTTTTCCTGTTAGTTTAGTCTGTTAATTGGGTGTTTAAATGTATATTTTGGAGAATTTCTAAATGTAAAATTATACCAATATCTCAGTTGCTTTGAATTTAAAATTCTGGTCAGATGATAATTCGAAAGATGTTATGGAAGAAATTCTTATGCTTCTCGATCTTTTCAATTCAAACATCTGTGATTGTAAACCAAGAGATGACATGTATCAATATGTTAAAGTCATTTTTCTTGACCATTTGTATATTGTCCTGTTCCTGGTTTCGTTAAAGCAGCTCATAGTAAAGTTCACGTAGTTGTTATAGGCATGCTTTGTCAGTGTGTACCTTTGTTTTTGGTGTTATGTGGTGAGATTGATTATATGTAAAATTTTTGCATGTAAGTTCAGTACTATAAAAAGAAAGCTCTGCTTCTACAGCTCATCTTTTTTCTTTCAGCACGTAGAAAATCTAATTGTGTGAAAGAAGTAGAAAAATTACAAGAAAAACGAGAAAAAAGGAGACTACAACAGCAAGAACTTAGAGAAAAAAGAGCCCAGGTTTGTAACAGAATCATATTTTGTTTATGCATGAACTGAAGATTTAGACTGTGTTAGTGAACGTGAGATGCTTGTGAAAAAGTAGTGGAGGCGTTCATTTAAAGTTTTCAGTATATTAATTGATTGTTAAACTGATGAGAAATAATATAAATTCTTATGAAAATATGTTACAGCATTTTTGCTACATGTACTTTTCACGTTTTGTTCCATTTTGAATAATAATTCATTGTGTTACTGAATTCAAATGCAGCCATTATACCTTTCAAGAATAGTATATTTTGGTTTTCTAAAATGATCTAAAAATACATGCAGAAGAATATCTAATTAAAGTAGATGATTATAAAGTAGACAGTTTTACTACAAAATTTTATTATTTTTCCATGGTTGAATTCAGCATATCACAGGGAAAGCAGAAATTCCTTGTATTTTGATTTATACTAGATATTAAAAGCCTATCTCTTGTGTCTCTCACATTCCCTTTGGATGGTAACAAAACTGTTTACTAACAAAGGAAAAATTACATAGAAGACTGGTCTTTTATCTCTCTGCAGGTGTTCATCTGCTGCAAATTCCGTTACTATACCCATAACTCTTTTATTGTGCTTATATTATAACTGTATTCTTAGAACTTGTTTCCTCTAATAAAATATCAGGATTGGTGCGCCTGGGTAGCTCAGTTGGTTAAGAATCCGACTTCCCCCTCAGGTCATGATCTCACCGTCCATGAGTTCAAGTCCTGCTTCAGGCTCTGTGCTGACAACCCGGAGCCTGGAGCCTGCTTCGGATTCTGTGTCTCCTTCTCTCTCTCCCCCTCCCCTGCTTACGCTCTGTCTTTTCTGTCTTTCTGTCTCTCTCCAAAATAAAGAAACATTAAAATATTAAAAAAAAAAAAAAAAACAAAAAAAAACGAGCATCAGGATTGTTTCTTTATTCAGGAGTATATTCAAATGCCCTTAAATTATAAAGATGTTGTGTTGTGGGATTATAAAACCAATATAAAATTCAGCATTTTTAATAAATCAGGTTCTAACTTAAAGTGATCTGATAATGATCATTTGGTTTTGAAATAAATAAAACAATGCAGATGGATCTACTGATACTTAGCACAGATGCCACCTAGTGTTTCCTGTGGGAACCTCATAATATTTTCACCTTGTGATTTCTTAATTTTCACTTTACATTCAGTTTTTCAGTTGACATAGTTATCATTTCCTAAAAGAAAGTTAATTGAAAGTAATTTTCATTAACAGTTTTGAAATTTATATTCAAAGCAAATCTGTACCTGGTGCATGATAAAAATCTGACTTTTTAGAATGTTTAGTAGCTTATTGACTGCAGTCAACACATTCAGTAATTTAAATTTTAAAAGTTGAAAAAATTTTGTGTTTTGATTCCTTTAAGTTCTGAGGTGGTTTTTACCACCTTTAGGGTTTCTTTCTTTTTTTTTTTTGTTGAGAGTCAACAAAAACAGAAAATGGGCATAAATGAATCCGTATTTCTACTTTATTGAAACACTGGATTCAGTATTGGGAAGAAAAAGGTGATTAAATGAATATTTCTAGAATTTCAGGTTTTTAGAAATTTAGAGTTTTTTAGACTTCTTTATTGATGTTTAAGATGAGCACTATTTCTTTTGTTTAATTTTCTGGGATGATTAAGTTATATATAACATGATTTTGAGAGTTCATAGTGGCTTTAATGCGGAGTGTTTGGTTTAGAGTTAACACAATGCATTAGACTATCAGAATTGTGTATGTAATAAGGTGATTCTTGGGCATGTTATTAATCCTAAACTCTGAAACTAAATTATATCATGCCTTTAGTTTGAGTTTCAGCTTGGCTATAACAAATGACACAGTCTGCTAATTTAATTTTAATTTGCAAACCATATTTAACATAAATGCAACAATATAATTAATGTAATTATAATAAATGATGAATTCTCTTGTTACAGGATGTTGATGCTACAAACCCAAATTATGAAATTATGTGTATGATCAGAGATTTTAGAGGAAGTTTGGATTATAGACCATTAACAACAGCAGATCCTGTAAGATTCGTTATAAACTATTGCTATGGAATTTTTTATGCTGTAAAAGAAAAAAAATTTGATAACCACTTAATATTGGATTTAGCTATGTAGTTTTTTCTCTCTTTATGGGTGCACATTCCCCATATTTTAAGGAGAAAATCAAGAAATCATCCACATTTGTGCTTATCTCTCATAATTTGGTTTATCAGACAGGCTTCCCATAGAGATGTCCTGTTCAGAGCAAATCCTCTCTGTCTTTGGCAGGGCAGAACAACAGTTAAAGGAATGATGCCAGAAGACCCATTCTCCTTTCTGACTGTCACTTAAACTTCTATCCCGGTTCCAAGCTTATTTCCTCTTGGGCTCTAGATCCCGCTGTCCTATCAGTTTGCTGTTAGTTAATTTGTTATTTTTAAATAAATGTTAGTCTGGCTTTTAACAGTAAATATGGTTGTTTAGAACTGTACCAGTCCAGAAACCTAGCACTTGAAATAAATTCTCATTGTCTTACTACTCAACTACTTTCCTGTTGAAGAATGAGAATTTTTTGGACAGGGAATAGTTTGTGAGTCATTAATACTTAGGAGATAATCCATCTGACCTGGCCTGTACAGAATACCTTGGGTACGTAAAATACATTTTTGTCAGGCTGATGTATTCATAGAGTTGTTATTCATAATACTTTTGTCCCGTATATTTTAGTCCTTGCTACCCCTTTAACCTACTACATCTGAAACTCCTACTTTGGGGCAGGGATTGGCAAACTTTTCCTTCAAAGACCCTGATAGTAAAGAATTTGGCTTTGTGAACCAAATGGTCTTTGTCACAACTACTCAATTTTACCTTTGTAGTACAAAAGGAGCCATAGACAATACCTAAACATATAACTGTCTCATTAAAACTTACAAAAGCCGGTAGTGGCCTGGATTAGCCCTGCAGGCCATACTTTGCTAATCCCCGTGTTACAGATTTAATTATTATTAACAGGCAAGTACTGGGAGCATAAATTTTATGAAAAATATGTGTAAGAATCGACCTATTATAAAATTGTTGAAGTTATTTTGCTCACTAATATTCTGAGAATTGTGTCTATAGTTAGTTATTTTTGTCAACAACTTTCCTTTTAATCAACACGAAAATACATCACTTGGTGGGAAATTGTGCCTTTGTTATATGTAGCATATTTTGTAGTGAGTAAGGCAGCTTCTTAACGTGAGCCTAATGCTACAAAGTGTCCTCTACAAGGTTGTTTACTGTTTACCAAATAAAAAAATAAGCAACTTTCCATTATGCTCAGAATTTTAGAGATCATTGTCTCTTAACTATTAAAATTTGTACTTGCCATTTTGTGTTTTAAACTTATTTATCCTATTTATGCTATGCATCAATTTCTAGAGCCTCTGTAGGAAATAGTGCATAACTGACTTTTTTAGTGTTTTATAACACTGATAAACATTGAAACAAAATATTTTATTTCTAGATTGATGAACATAGAATATGTGTTTGTGTAAGAAAACGACCACTCAATAAAAAAGGTATGATGCTTTTTGAACTCTTAATAAGAGGTTGATTTTGCCCAATTTGTAATTTATTTTGATGATAGCAGAAATTAAATTGGTTCAGAAGAGTTTAATAGAAGTCATTTTAAATCATTACGCAGATTTCTATGGTTAGATCTCTTGATTTGTTACTGCTCTATGAATCATTGCCATTTCTGGTTTTGGCTTCACAGAAATTTAGATTATTTTTCTTGGTTGTTGAAATACTATATCTTATTGAATGGCGTATTTCTGAAATTTTTGTATTTATAGAACTTAATACTTCAATTACATTTCTTTTTGCTTACATTTGTACATCCTAATGCTGTGAAAATTACTGGGCATTCATTTTCATTTATTCTTTTAGAAACTCAAATGAAAGATCTTGATGTAATCACAATCCCCAGTAAAGATGTTGTGATGGTACATGAACCAAAACAAAAAGTAGATTTAACAAGGTACCTAGAAAACCAAACATTTCGTTTTGATTATGCCTTTGATGACTCAGCTCCTAATGAAATGGTTTACAGGTAGGTAAATTTGTTTTAAATAACAGTTTTGTTCTTACACTGTGTATCTGTCACCACCCTGAAACTTAATTGATCTTGGCATATCTCTCAAAAAATATAGTATGCTTTTTTTTAATTCTGAGTTTAAACAAGGTTACATAATAATAATAATGAAGGGCACCTGGGTGACTTAGCTGGTTAAGGCTCTGACTTGCTTTTGGCTCAGGTCAAGATCTCAGGGTTCCAGGGGTGTCTTGGTGGCTCATTTGCTTAAGCATCCGACTTTGGCTCAGGTCATGATCTCATGGTTTGTGAGTTCAAGCCCTGTGTTGGGCTCTCTGCTGGCTCAGAGCATGGAGCCTGGTTTGGATTCTCTGTCTCCCTCTCTCTCTCCCCCTCCCTCGCTTGCCTTCTGTCTCTCTCTCTCTCAAAAATAAATAAACTTTAGAAAAAAAAAATCTCACGGTTCATGAGTTCAAGCCCCACATCAGGCTCTGCTGTCAGCGCTGTCTCCCTCTCTGTACCCCTCCCCCGTGTGTGTGCTCGCATATGCGCACTCTCTCTCTCAAAATGAATAAACTTAAAAGAAAAACAATGATGAATATATTAACACTTGTTCTTTGTAATGCTCACCTGAAATCATGGTTTTTATTATTGGCTAGATACATTTCCTTCCACACACACACACATGTTCACATATTCAATTTACAAACAACTCAAACTTGGAAGTATTATACATTGATATCCCAAATTATTAGGCCAGATTTAGATTTTCATATATAGTTTGTAAACACTGCCTTCTAAGAGCAGTGTTCTTTTAAGAGCAGTGTTCTTTCAGTGTATATAGAACTGTCTTGGCAGTTACTTGAATATTTTTTAGTTTATTTATTTATTTTGAGAGCGAGAGAGCATGAGCAGGGGAGGGGAGCAGGGGAGGTCACTTTTAAGAGCATTGTTCTTTCAGTGTATATAGAATTGTCTTGGCAGTTACTTGAATATTTTTTAGTTTATTTATTTATTTTGAGAGCGAGAGAGCATGAGCAGGGGAGGGGCAGAGAGAGAGAGAGTGTGAGAGAGAATATCCTAAAGAGGCTCCCTGCTGTCAGCACAGAGCCTGAGACCCATGAACCTTGAGATTGATGAACTGAGCCCAAACCAGGAGTCAGACGCTTAACCGACTGGGTGACCCAGGCGCCCCTTGAATGCTTTTTCATTGTCCTTTCATTTTATAAATATGGCTGGAAAACAAAATTTAAGAATTAAGAGTCCTAAGAATTGAAGACTTATAAATGAAATATTATTGAAACCAACTTTATTGGTCCTAAGCCAGTAAACTAGAAGTTCAGTTGCAACGAGGAGGAAATTAAAGAACCTGTGAACGCTAAATAGTATTATGAAAAATTTGTTTTATAAGGGAGTTATAAGTATAAATTACCTATTTTTTACCTTACTGAGAATAGTCCTCTCCTCACCCCTCACTTCTTTCTCTACTTCCACTCCTGTTTCGTAAAATGTCTGTTTGACTTTGTAATCATAAGATATTTTTCTCTGAATATTCTAGGTTTAGTAAACATTCCTTTTTACCTTATATTTGTGCTTCTTAAATTTACCAATATTGATGCTATCCCCTTTCTTTAACTTTGAAGGAGTGCAAGTTAGGCCTTTTTTTTTTTTTTGTCTAATCACTCTGCAGACCCATTTTCTACTTTGGTTTGACCTTTTTATCTTACTCCCTTTTATTCTATACCTTTTTCAGTTTTGTCTTAAAAATAATTGAGCAACTGTATAAAGTGTGCCACATACATTATTTTGAAACCTAAACAATGATTACAATAATATATTTGAAAAATAACTCAAACCATAATAATTTTGGCATACTTCTCCTGAACTAAGACTATCAACTCCAAACTCAGTATCTTACAAATATAATTTATATTTACTTAGCCATATTCAAGGAAATCCTGTCACTTTCTGCTTGGGTAGATGGTCTTAAGATAGTTTTGTAGTTTTTTTTCCCTTTTAGTTTTTCTCTGTTGAGATTATCACTCTCTTGATGTGGTTTCTTTTAAAATGTTTTTGCTTTTCTTTGTATAAATGTTACTTGTCTGCCTAATATTTTGATATTTTGTTTATTTTTTAAAACTTTCATATTGTCATATATATATGTAATATATATATTATACATATATATGTATATATGCCCAAGCTTAGCTACTGTCATTTTTTTTCTATCCATTATTGTGACCATTGTTTATTATGGAATTGCTTGAAATTATGCTTTAAAGAGCTTTAAGCAATATTAAGAGGAATTTATTTAAAATTTTTAACATATCAGTGGGCTTAGTTGTAGTCTGACATTTGAGCACATTGATTTATTAAAATGATTTTGTTTATTAATAAGACTTGATATTTTATTTATTTAATTTAAATATTGACAGCACATTCTGACTAGTGTATTTTATTTCTAAGGTTTACAGCTAGACCACTAGTTGAAACTATATTCGAAAGGGGAATGGCTACATGCTTTGCTTATGGACAGACTGGAAGTGGAAAAACTCATGTAAGTAATTCATTATAGTTCCATCCTGGTATGAAGCTTGTTTATTTTCCTTATAGCTTAATTCTAAGACCTATTTTTTTTTAAGATTTATTTCTGGAAAATGTCTACTATTTTTTATTTCCTTTTTAACATGTAGACTATGGGAGGTGACTTTTCAGGAAAGAACCAAGATTGTTCTAAAGGAATTTATGCGTTAGCAGGTAACTCTTTTTTTGCATATCATTTGTAATATTCTTGAATATTATTCAAATGGCTTTGAAATAAAACATGGAAATATTGTTCAGGACTTGAAGGATAACCATAAAGCTAAACTTACCGTATATTATGTCAGTTTTAGGTTGTCAAACTGCTTGAAAAGAATTGTGAGATTAAGTGTTTGGGACAGAAATCTTGATATTTGTGTCATTTTAATCTGGCATGTTGTTAGAGCTTAGTATTTGTTGTTAGATAGCTGATTTGTGAAAATCAGCTGTGAATCAGCTGATTTGTGAAAACCACATCTGTTTGGTGTGGTTGTGGAAATAATCTTACTATGACCACCTATAATTTTATGTTATTTATAAAGATAAATAGTAGCATTCTTTTACTGAACATGAAAGAGAATGGCATCTAGACCGTAAATGTCAAAAAACTATTACTATTTTTTTGTAAAATAATGTTCACTTTAGTCTTTATTGTTATTATTGATCTTGTCATTCTAGGTAAAGATTAACTGATTTTCTCTAAGTACAGAAAATTTGAATTGCTTTTCAAAGATAGTATTTGTAACATCTTAACAATTTTCTCCATGTGACATTCTTGATAGCTCGAGATGTCTTTTTAATGTTAAAGAAGCCAAACTATAAGAAATTAGAACTTCAAGTATATGCAACCTTTTTTGAAATTTACAGTGGAAAGGTAAGTGGAAACTTAAAAAGACTCTGATTTGGAGGGGGTGGGGGAGGAGTGTTAAATTGTGGTTTAACATGCATAACATAAGATTTAACATTTTAACCATTTTTTGTGTGTACAGGTTCAGTGGCCTTAAGTACATTCATGTTGTGCAACCCTTGCCACCCCATTTTTATTTTTTTTTCAACTTTTTGTTTTTGTTTTTGTTTTTGTTTTTGTTTTTTTGGGACAGAGAGAGACAGAGCATGAACGGGGGAGGGGCAGAGAGAGAGGGAGACACAGAATCGGAAACAGGCTCCAGGCTCTGAGCCATCAGCCCAGAGCCTGACGCGGGGCTCGAACTCACGGACCGCGAGATCGTGACCTGGCTGAAGTCGGGCGCTTCAGCCGAACTCACGGACCGCGAGATCGGACCTGGCTGAACCGACTGCGCCACCCAGGCGCCCCGCCACCCCATTTTTATATATGTTAGAATATTATGTTAACATTTTTTGAGGTTTTTAAAAATTCCCTTTGAAATGCTCAACTTTTCAGTATTGAGAATTATTCTAATTACTATAATTTTCTGAAATTTTTTGGACTCTGATTTTTATAGAATTGATTCTTTTTTTCTTCGAGGCTAGTTTTCTGATTTGGATTTTTTTGAAATAGGTGTTTGACTTGCTAAACAGGAAAACAAAATTAAGAGTGCTGGAAGATGGAAAACAGCAGGTTCAAGTGGTGGGATTACAGGAACGGGAAGTCAAATGTGTTGAAGACGTACTGAAACTCATTGACATAGGCAATAGTTGCAGGTAACTCATTTTAATTAAGGGCAACTTAATCTCTTAATCAGTTTTAGATACTTGGGGTTTCTAAACAAAGCAAAGGTGTTATTCATTGCCTCTTGGCAGTAAAAATTTGTTCATAAAAACTTTTACTGTTACTTGTAACTCTGAGTGACATCTACTATATTGGTAATCATACTACAAGTATACTAGAAGTGTGCCAGATTAAATTGTATGAATCCAGTTGTATCGAAGTGTTGTAACTCAGATTGTCTTCATTTGTATTTAAATGATGAGAACTGGATAGTTTTTTCTTGCTTTTTAGTGAAAATACTCTGGTTTGAAACAAAAACTAAAAGGGTTTTTGTATGTAAAATATCCTTAATCACATTGTAGGACATCCGGTCAAACATCTGCAAATGCACATTCATCTCGGAGCCATGCAGTGTTTCAGATCATTCTTAGAAGGAAAGGAAAACTACATGGCAAATTTTCTCTCATTGACTTGGCTGGAAATGAACGAGGAGCTGATACTTCCAGTGCAGACAGGCAAACCAGGCTTGAAGGTGCTGAAATTAATAAAAGCCTTTTAGCACTCAAGGTAAATAAAATGCATTTAATTGTGAAAAGTCTTTTGCTTTTGACTTTAATTTTGTTTAGAGTATCTAGAAAATGATAGCACTTGTAACATCTAATAAATAAGAGAAGTTATCAAAATTTACTTATGTTTACAGTTCTAGATTTACACTGTGCTCAGAAATTTTCTTTACACATACTCTTTTTTTTTTTAGAGTGAATAGAGGACCAATTTTGAGCCTACTTAGGGAGGTTCCATAGGGCTTTAGTCAGTCATACTGTCTTAGAAGAAGACAAAGAACCGCAAAACTCAGCTAAGAAATAATGTCTCAGGAAAATGTGGAATGACTTTCAGAGAGAGAGGGGGGGAGTGTTACATCTGTTCCTTGACTACAAAAGGAAGGATTGAAAAGACTACAAAAACATTATGTTTTTTCTTTTGTAGTGCCACTTTCAAAGTTTAGCTTTTTATCCTATTGTCTATTACTTCTAAATAGTAGTCATAGTCTCCAGAAGAATCTTTTGGAATGATAAGTACTTTATTGTTGTTGTTGTTTAATTTTATTTTCTTGATTTAAGATTTATGGGACCATCTTTACTGTGCTGTAAACCTGTTAGTAGGGTTTCCAGAGCTGATCAGATCTTAAATGTTAGGGTTATAGTAAAAGATCTTTTAAATATATTAGTTAAGATTACTTTTTATAAGAAGCCTAACCTGTGAAACTTGCTTTCTTAATTGGCAGGAGTGCATCAGAGCCTTAGGTAGAAATAAACCTCATACTCCTTTCAGAGCAAGTAAACTCACTCAGGTGTTAAGAGATTCATTCATAGGTGAAAATTCTCGTACCTGCATGGTAAGTTTATGTTTGTTTTTGTTTGTTTTGTTTTAATTCTGAATAATGAATAACTCACACTATCTGTGGAAAGATTATAATGCACATTAATAACAAACATTTAAATCCTTCTATTGTGAGAGATACAGTGATACTTAAGATGTGGTCCCTGCCAGTCTGATAGAGAGGATTATATTGCAGTTATAATGCATTCCACTAATTCCAACATCTGAGTCTTCTTGAGGTTGGTCTTCGTTGATTTTTGTTTTCCTTGAGTATGAGTCACACTTTTCTGTTTCTTAGTATGTCTGCTAATTTTGGGTTCTATCATTTTCACTATGAATAAATATCTTAATGAACACTCTGGATATTCATATCTTCTAAAGATTATTGAGTTTTTTGTTGTTTTAGCCAGAAGTGAACTTAACTTGAACTTCAAATTCTTGTCTCCCCTGCCGGGGGCATCAAATGAAATAGAAACCTGTTTAGTTCTTTTAGACTTAGCTATGTTGCTTAGTGGAAGCCTTGTGTATGCCTGCGTCACGGGTCAGCCAGAGATTTGGGGCAGTTTATATGTAGAGTTTCTGGTTGTCAAGATTACCTCCCTGCATGGTTATCTCCCTATTCTGGGACAAATCTCACTTTCTAGCTGCTATAGTTCTACCTCCAAACTCTGTCTTTTAATTTAACCTGTGAAATTTCAAGTTTCTAATGCAGTTGTAGTTACCCTGTGTGGGAGCAGCAGGGCTTGCCCTTGGGCGGAAAAGCTGATGTGTGGAGGTGGGGAGGGAGGATGGGAACACTCAGTGCTATTCCTTTCTAGGTGTTGACCTCTATTTTCTGCCTGATTTAAATTATTTTTCTAGTACTTTCAGAGAGTTGTTTGTATTTTATATGGTTTATAATTATCATCTGATTATGGGTGTGATATAGCAAATTATTTTGGAGTTTAGATATCATAAGTGTTTTCTTTGTTTAGTAACTATTTTAAGATTAGATCTTAATAAGCTATATGTTGATATTATTGTCTTCATCATTTATAAAATTTTCTTTACCTTTGCATTTTTCTCCCATAGATTGCCACAATCTCTCCAGGAATGGCATCTTGTGAAAATACTCTTAATACATTAAGATATGCAAATAGGTATGAAAAATAGTTATTCAGTTTCAAATTTGAGGGGAGTAGAGCAGTATTTAGTTTGACTTAATATCTGATGGGATAAATTGTATTACATTTTTCTCAGTTTTTAAAAATTTTTTGCATGTACATTAAGATGGTATATAGAGTCCTTTGGTCAAATTCTGAAAGTAAATGGAAATGTGTAATTTGGAAAGAGATTTGGATCTTTAGTACAATTGGTCTTTCTTTCAAGAACATGATTACATTTTTCTGTTTCACCAAGTTATATTTCATATTATTTTACAACATCTAAATCACGCAAATTTTTCGTATTAAGTGAGTCTGAGGGGACTGGTCTGGTCTGTGTTTCTGAAATTGTTTTTTCTGTATGCTAAAAATTATTTCTGACAATATTAAGTGTTTTACATGGTGGAATCTAGAGGTTGAGTAAGTAATGATAGCACATTTCTTTCTGATGTTCTATATGAGTTACATTTTATTATTCATGTAATTAGTATTACATACTTTAATGGGCAATGGCATTACAAATGAAAGGACAGAAAGCATTATAGACTTTAATTAATTTATTCTTTATAGTTATGAAATGCCCTTGGAACTTTGGATTATGATGGGCATATTTATATTTGTTTCATGAATTCCTCCCATTGCTCTTGTTTTGAAAAAAATGACTATGTATATAGTTTTAAATTTCTATTATCACATATTGCATTTGTGATTTTAATTTTTAGAGATCAGATTCCTTTTTGTATTCCATTTCTACTGTGGACATTCTTTGAATTTTGCTGAACCACAAGTATTTGTCCCCGTTTCTTTATTTTAATTGCTATGGAAATTTTGTTTTTAATCTTTTTTAAAAATGGGAAATATGTACACAGAAAAGGGCCAAAAACATAAGTGAATAATCTAATATTTATAAAATGAAAATTCTTATCATCAGGTTGAAATAGAATGTTTCTACCTCTCTAGAAAGTTCCTCATATGTTCCCTCCTGATTACAAATCCTGAATAACATGTCCAAATCCATTAACCTCTATCCCAAGATAGACATTGCCTTGATTTCTGTGGCCTAATTTTCTGGTTTTTCTTTCTTTTTAAAAATTGTTTAACTGCCTATGACTGTATCCGTGAAAATATACATAGGTAGCTATCTATATTTGAACATTACATAAATGGAATCATACCCTTTGTTCTTTTGTAACTTGTTTTGTTCTTTTTCTTTGTTCTTTTCTTGTTCTTTTGTTCTTTGTTCTTTTGTAACTTGTAACTCTTTTGTTTCAACTGAAGAGATTTTTCAAAATGATGGTAAAAACTGTTGGAAAATATAAGCCTGTTGACATTTTATAAAAAGATAGTAAGATAAAATAACTTCTTTTAAAAATATAATGGATTATTATTCCTGAATGTAAGCCCTTAAAAACTTTAAATTATGGGCTCTTAACTGCAAACATTTATAGTCCTTTTAATTGATTTTTATAATGAACACTTGTAGTATGTAGGGTTTTAATCATTAATTTTAAATGCTTCTTATTTCAAAAGTGTTCATGGGAGAGATGAGAAACAGCTTAGTATAGCAGAATATTACCATGTTGTAGGATTAAAACAAACAAAAATCTCCATGTCTTCAGACTTCAAACTGCACAGGACTCTCCCTAAGGTGAAAATGTTATATCTGGCCATGTCTCTAGTTCATTTAGGTCCTAGTAAATGTTTTATTTTGTTATCCTGTAGTGTAATTTATCTGCAACGTGACTAACCACCTGGGACAAATAATTCTGTCTTTTCTTTCTAAATCTCTAGGAATAAAGACTTTTCAACCTCCCTTGATAGCTCATTTGAGGAATATGATTCCTGCATAGAATATTTCCTGTTTGAGTTGGGCAAGAGGTCTTGGAGTAGAGGAAAATATTAGGCCATTAGGGTAATCTAAATTAGGAGATTCTGAAAGAATCCTAAATGAAAGAATCCTAAATGGAATTGGGAGCAAAAAGAGTTACGTCACAGTTAGACATTTAGTCAGTCTTTGTTGTAAATAAATTTTCCAAAGTGACCATAAAGGATGAAGGGCAGCAGAATCCCATATTGAACCTTTGACAGCAGACATTACCAGTAGGTTAAAGGAAGATTGTAAGTAGAAGAAATAGTTAGTTTCATCTACATGATATTATTAGTTTGATCTGTGTGACTGTTTATGACAGTTATGATATGATTTAGATGAAACCTAAAAGAAATAATGAGAAAAACAGATGGTTAGTATATTGGATTTTTAAATAACATAATGTTTGTACTCAGAGCTAGGTTTGAACCTCACTTATGCCACAGTCTCATTGAGTAACCTTGGGTAAGATACTTTATTTTGTGAACGAATGTCTCATCTCTGAAATGGCAAAAATAGTATCGCAAGATTGTTGTAAGAATTAAATAATAAAGTGACTAAAATTTACTAATTGTAGTATCTAACATGTACGAAGTACTTAATAAATATTGCTTACTGTTATGAAATGGGATTGGCCTGAAGGGGACATAGGGAATAACAAAAATGGGGTCAGAAAAGCTGTAATTTGGTTAAATATAACCATTAGAAACATTAACAAAAGCAATTTAAATTCCATTGCTAAATAGCCTTTTTTTTTTTAAAGTTTTTTTAAGTTTATTTGAGAGAGAGAGAGAGAGAGAGAGAGGGAGAGGGAGAGTGTGTATGTGATCAGGGAAGGGGCAGGGAGAGGGAGAAAGAATCCCAAGCAGGCTCCACACCATCAGTGCAGAGCCTTACATTGGGCTTGATCTCACGAACTGTGAGATCATGGCCTGAGCTGAAATCGAGTGGGGCACTCAACTACTTAAGCCACCCGGGCGCTTCTAAATAGGCTTTTTCTTAACCAGGTTCTTCATCTGAACCAAACACAGAAGATTATTTGAATGACTGCTCTCTCGGTTTGTACCAAGGATGGGTTATAGCTAATACCATTCTAAATGCATAAGAAAGAAGTTAATTCATTACAAACAGTGGATGCCATTAGGACTTAATCCTCTTGTGTTCTGTTTTAAAAGACTGCAAGAGTATTGAGGGCTCGTTAATGCTGATATAATATTTGTGGTATTGACTGCACAAGGAAATTTGATTAAGTAGTCAATAGGACAGAGAGACTCAAAACCTTAAAATTGATTATTTTTTCATTATTCTAGGTGCAATAAGTCAAAACAATGTTGATCTCTTTTTCTAAATGAATTAAACTGAATACTGAATGAAAACTTGAAATGTGCATTGCTGTCTGTATAAGAGCATTTTCTTTTAATTTGTTGCTGTTTTGGTGCTGCAGAGTAAAGGAGTTTGGAATTAGTCCATCAGACATTCCCTTCTCACAGGGTAGTGGCAGTCGCCCCGATCTCTCTCCTTCTTATGAGTATGACGACTTTTCTCCTTCGATTACCAGGTCTACTTCCCTTCTATGCATAAGATATTTATTATAATAGTTTCTTTTGAATTGCATTACATATAAATATTTCATTTATACTTCTTTTGTTCTGAGCCATTTTATTTTTCATTTTCATTTCATTTGGCAGGTGATGGTTGTACTGCATGATCTTCATTTTTGTGTACTTTATTAATTTATTTGCTTTAAAGTATTGATGTAGAATTCAGGCTTCCTATTTCCCCTCATATTTTTAAGGATGATGTCATCTTTGCATATTTACAGTTGAGAGATAAACTGTCTCATTTAAAGTGAGTTTACCTTTATTTCCTATGTTCTTATAAATTTCCTTGACTCCAAGGAAATAACAAGGATCCTCTTGCTTTAGAACATGTACCCTCCCACTGTGTAAATTGAAGTATAATCGGTAAACATTTTTTTAAATGATAGAAGTTTAGAAATATGATTATTTCACATGTAGCTCTTTTAATAGAGCATTATAACAACTATAAACAACTAAAGTATGCAAAGTGTATTCTCTGATTTTGGCAGTAATCCATTTATTAAAAGTGCATTTTTCTGTTTATATAATTCAATTGCAAAAAGTTTCTTTTTACTTTGAAATACTGAATTTACTTACTTAGCTAATTATCATTTATTACGTACAATAATTATATTTGAAATAATTGTAAAGTTACCGCAGTAAATTCTGAAAGTTAAATAGCCAAAGATCCCTTTGGTCTTCCTGCAGATTTCAGGTAAACTTGATCTGGAAAGCTGACATCATCAGTCTTAACATGTTTAATTGAATTCCCTTTTTATTGAATAGGTTGGCATTTTCTTGTTCCTCTGCGTGTGTCTTTGTTAATTTTAGGTACCTCTTATGTGTTTATAGGGTGAAAGAATTGACTGTGGATCCAACTGCTGCTGGTGATGTCCGTCCAATAATGCACCATCCACCCAATCAGATTGATGACTTAGAGGCACAGTGGGGTGTAGGGAGTTCCCCTCAGAGAGATGATCTAAAACTTCTTTGTGAGCAAAATGTGAGTGACAATATAGTTATAACTATCTGCTTTTAGTTCGTTTCATCAGTAGCAGAACTTAATAATTGAAAACTACTGTCTAAGTCAGGGGTCAGCAGACTGACAGCCTCTGGGTCAGGCATCTGTTTTTTACAAATAAAGTTTTACTTAATTGTGGCCAATGCTTATTCATTTACAAGTTGACTGGCTGCTTTCTTAGTACAAAAGCACTGACAAAGACTATAACGCTCAAAGGCCCAAAATAGGTACTGTCTGGCCCTTGAAAAAGTTTGCAGACTCCTGGGGTGCCTGGGTGGCTAGTCAGTAAGCTACTGACTCTTGACTGACTCTTGATTTCTGCTCATGTCATGGGTTTCATGAAGGGTTTGAGCCCTGCATTGGGCTCTGCCCTGGCAGCTTGGAGCCTGCTTGGGATCCTCTCTCTCCCTCTCTCTCTGCCTCTCTTCTCACACTGTCTCTGTCTCTCTCAAAATAAATAAGCTTAAAACAAAGTTTGCTGACCTCTGATCTAAACTATTATTTTTTTCAGATTTTATATCATTATTAAAATTCGGGGATTTAAAAATTTTTTTTTTTCCAACGTTTATTTATTATTTTTGGGACAGAGAGAGACAGAGCATGAACGGGGGAGGGGCAGAGAGAGAGGGAGACACAGAATCGGAAACAGGCTCCAGGCTCTGAGCCATCAGCCCAGAGCCTGACGCGGGGCTCGAACTCCCAGACCGCGAGATCGTGACCTGGCTGAAGTCGGACGCTTAACCGAGTGCGCCACCCAGGCGCCCCTAAAATTCGGGGATTTAAAAACTAACACAGGGAAAAAAGCAAATTTAAGAATTATGCATACCATATATTATACATACAGCTTAAAAACAAAATTAACTCGGACACATGCACATATATTAAAAGGATACCATGGGCTGTATCAGAAGTCAAACATGGAAAAATGCTAATAACATTTGTTAAATATGGTTGTATTCTATATGTTTGAAATGTCTAGTGACATTTCATAATTTAACATATGATTCCCAATTATTCAAAAAATTATATCCCCCATTTTATAAGGACTACGAGGTATATTAAAAAGTAACAAAAAAGCACAACACACAGTTTCACGTAATTACTTTAACATATTGAGGGGATTCCTTTATGTGAGATGTGAAAGTTTATATAATTAACTTCTAAAGAATTTTAATATATTTAAATATTTTAAAATTACATTTTAAATAATTTTTTAAAACTTCATTTTTAAAAATTATATAGTTTTATACCCTTTTTTTCTCAGTAAGAATCTTATAGTAATATTTTGTCATGATAAAAAGTGGCATTTACTAATTTCTTACTACATGACTTACATTTGGTAAGCATTTTATTTATCATCTGATGTAATCCTTAGAATTTGATGTGATAGGTACCATAATTATTTGCTTTTTAACTGATTTTCTAAAAGGTGAAGGAAGTCAACTAAGACCATACATATAGTAAGTGCTAAAGCCACAACTGAAATCTCCATATTTCTTATGTGAGAGCCACATCTTAGGTCCACTAAATGTATTGCTAGCCGCAATAATAAAATACTCTTTGGAAATTATATAACTTTAAGTTAATGTTTTTATACTTTTTAACTCAAGTCCACAATATTCTAGAGCAACAAATGGGCATACTACTTTTTGTTATGTTGTTCCAAATTATTGTCTGTTAATAATGAAGGGCTTAATGTAGTGGTCCTCAACTAGGAGTGACTTGACCCCCTAGGGAAAAATGTGTGGAGACATTTTTAGTTGTCGCATCTATTGGGTAGAGGTCAGGGATGCTATTAAACATCATACAAGGTACAGTCTTCCCTCGAACCCCAAATGTCAGTGGTGCCAAAATTGAGAAACTGGTTTAAAAGTAAGAGTTCTAAACTTTGAACCATAGAAAATAAAGAACTGAAAATGAGATTCTGACCTTAGTCTATCCCCCATCTCCAAAAGTTTTGAAGCAAAAGTATAGTTGCTTTTAGAATTCTTTTTTTTTTTTTTTTAATTTTTTTTTTTCAACGTTTATTTATTTTTGGGACAGAGAGAGACAGAGCATGAACGGGGGAGGGGCAGAGAGAGAGGGAGACACAGAATCGGAAACAGGCTCCAGGCTCCGAGCCATCTGCCCAGAGCCCGACGTGGGGCTCGAACTCACGGACCGCGAGATCGTGACCTGGCTGAAGTCGGACGCTTAACCGACTGCGCCACCCGGGCGCCCCGCTTTTAGAATTCTTAACACAAACCATGTATTGTACTTAGATATGGTGCCTTTTACTGATGTAGAAAGCCAGAACAAGATAGGCCCCCTCTGTAGCAGACCTTTTCTGTTTTATTCTTACATCTTTTGGGTTGGGTCTTTGTAGGTCTTTAATTTGGAGACGCTGGCTAGATGACGAGAACTGATCCAGAGGTTTTTAAGCATAATATCATGAGTTCTTGCATTCTCCTCCATATTTGAGAGAGTGTGAGTTTTGCCACCCCTAGGAAACTTTGAATTTTGCCACCCCTGGGAAACTACCTTGAGGTGGTTCAGAATTAGTTTTTAGTTAAGTATTGGTACATGTGCATGTTAAGTTTTAACAAGGTAAATTAAAATGGGATAGTGTCTAAGACTTGCCTTAGAGATAAAACCGACACAAGTACACAAACTAGAAGATAATAAAGTGCATTAGAATTCCAGAAATAGTTGCACAAACAAAAGTCTTCTAAGACTGCAGGGAAATGAGGAACTTGAACAATATTTTAAAGCAAAGGAAAGAAGACATTCTGGGCTTTAAAGGGAGGTGGGCAGGTAAAATGAGTAAAGTTGGTTGAGTGTGTTTATTGGAGAGAGAGAGGGAGTGAGGGAAAGAATAATGCCTGAATGTCTTAATGAAAACAGATGCCTGTTTCCCAAAGAGAAGATAAAAAGGTCATTGGCTAAATTGAATGTATAAACTTGTAGTGATGGTAGCATACGATGAAAGAGTCACATGTCTCTTTATAATATTTAACCAAAATATGTACATATGTGTAGAATTGTGTATTTTGTTTGAAAAACATTGCTTTTTCTACTTACAGTTTATAAAGTGATTTTAAGTAAACCTTGTCCCTAAAGCCACATTTTGAGGAAATAAATCATTAGACATTGGGGTTGGGAAAGAAGCTCACAAAGAAAGCGAGGCTAGAGAAGTTTTCACTTGATGTAGGACCAAAATAGGAATATGTTATATTTATGTATGTGGATTTTTTGTTGATGAGGTAAAGTTGTCATTTGTCGGTTAAGATTTCTCTAAAAACTGGAAGCACGTTATATGGTGTAACTCAGAAATTAAGACTGAGTAAGAGTTGAGACCTTCCAAAACACTAATTTGATAGTCACAGTCATGAAAGACATTATCTTGAAATCTCTTTTCTGGTGGAAAGATGTATAAGACATACCTATGATTTAAATTGTTAGTGAAAATTAAACAGTATTGAAGAAATATTTCAGCATCTTTATTGCTTTCAATAAATGTATTTTTGAAAAGTTGCGCTGTTCCAAAAGAGATTGCCTTTTTAGGGTAATTCTGCAGTAAAGTCTGTGCTAAATGAAAATTATCTCTTACTTAATATGCTTAAATATGGGGTATCTTATTGTGGCTTTGCCTTTTATATTATATTTTCATAGTCTTTATCTTTCAAACCTCCTCAATTTCTAAATGGCATTTTTATAAGTGACCTAGAAAAAGTATTTTTTTGTAACATTTAAAATGTAAAGTCCTAATTTTTAAAACTGTGTTCATCTTAAGGAAGAAGAGGTTTCCCCCCAATTGTTTACTTTCCACGAAGCCGTCTCACAAATGGTAGAAATGGAAGAACAAGTTGTAGAAGATCACAGGGCAGTGTTCCAGGTAAAGTTAAGACAGGACCTTACATCAAAATGTTTCTGTAGGGAAATTAACTAAAAACTTTCATAATACTTCAAATATCACACCAATCTAAAAATATACTTATTGTGTGTATGTGTATTTGTGGGATATATGACAGGATATTTTGAACAGAATGATGGATGGTTACAATGTTTATTTTGCACTATGGTGAAAGAATCTGGTTTATTTACTACTGTTCTGTTTTATTTGCTTTCTTTAGTTGTCCATTTTTAGAGAAGGGTTGAACTTCTCCCCTCCACTATCCTTTTCTCTCTTGTTAGGTCAGTTTATTTGACAGCAGTAAGAAAAACTTCTAAGGGTTATCAGAGTAGTTGAGGAAATACCTTTCTTTGATTGCTTTAGGAGAGGTAGGGTTACTGTCAGTGGCAGATGAGTAAGGGGTGTTAAATCCTTGCCTGTCACAGCAACTCCTGACGTATTCATCCCATTGTGTTCAGCCAGTTAAAAGCACGATTACTTGATGATTTCCCTCTTGATCCCCCTATTGCCTTTTTTAACAAGAAAATATCCTAGAGGGTGATACTTACAAGGAAGCGTAGATAAAGTTTGGATATCATTATGGAAACTATAAATATGTTCTGAGAAAAAAGTGAACAATAGCTCAGTCTTTCTTTTGACCTGTGTTCTTTCTCTGATGTTGAAGAGATATTAACATGACTCAGCTGTAGACCATTTGAGCACCTGGATGAAAGGCTTAAAATATAAGTGAACTATTAATTTTATAAATTGAGAATAGGATGTACATGCATTGAAACTGTTACAGTTTTAGTCAAACTCTTACTATGAGAATCTATTTAAAGGCCTAGATGTTTAGATTAAATCAAGAAAGGACACTTGTAATTTAAGAAATTTGTAGGAGCAAGGTGTCTGTCAAAAAAAAAGACCATCGTTTCCTACTCTGCCATTTTATGGTGAAGTCTAAAAAGTTCTTTGCTCTTTGGCAGAACTGGATGTTTTGAGTTTCAGTCCAGTATTCTTTTTACAATTCCATTTATTGTTCCTCCATACTGTGATCTGCCATTTCTTAAAATAGGGTTTTTTATTTTTAAAAAGTAAGTAGATAGCTAAGAAAAAAGAAAAAATTGTGGGGGGTGTGTGTATATATATTTTAACTGATACATGTATAGTTTTCTAATAGATACCTACATTAGCTAATTCTTATGATACACAGTCCAGTTATAATTAGCCATTAAATTGCATTGGAAGCTAGAAAGTGCCCATTTTTATATCCCCAAACTCTTTAATTCAGAACGATCTGAACTTGTTAATAATCAGTAGGATTCATTACATTGCTAGGAAATGAAACTCCTAAATTCCATGTTATCTAAAATCACTTAAGAATGAAGGGTTTCTTTAAAGCATGTGTGAATAGTAAGTAGCTACTATTTAGTGGTTTCTTTGACTCTTCTAAAATTGGCTGTCCCTTATAGTTAAAATAATTTTGAAGAGCTGGTGTTTAACCACTGTGAGGCCACAAATGGGGATGTAAATAGTAGATGATTTACAAGTTCTAGGCTACCATAGACCTCATTTGATTGCTCAGTAGCTTTGTTATACCCATTTTCCCCCAAGTTTAGGGATAGCTACTAAAATTTTGAGAATTAATGTGCTCACTGATACTTGTGTGTTTGATTCACACCCTTACCCAGGGCACAGTAAAAGAAAAATGAAGTTCTCTTGCCTGGCTTATCATATTTGTGTTTGTGTTTGAATTTAAGGAAATATTTCTTAATTTTATTCTGTAAATAAAGATGTTTTATACTTACTAAATTCTCTAGTTTTAGAGAATCCCATCTTCAGTATGTTTGATGATATTTAGCATATGCCAACGTTTTTAATTGGTCTTTGTCTTACAGAGAGGCTTATTGGATTGTTGAATTTTTGTCCTTTTAGGAATCTATTCGATGGTTAGAAGATGAAAAGGCTCTCCTAGAGATGACTGAAGAAGTAGATTATGATGTAGATTCATATGCTACTCAACTTGAAGCTATTCTTGAGCAAAAAATAGACATTTTAACTGAGCTGCGGGGTAATTCCTTTTTCATTTTAGTGTTTTACGTCTACTTAATATTTGAATATAATTAGTAGAGGATTTCATATTGCAAGAGGACATCTGAAATAAAAATTATGGGCACCATTAATACATTTCCAGAGGTATTTAAAGACAAACCAGTCATTCTGTTTTTTTTTTCTAAAAACATGGAATATCATTTCAAGTGTTCTTTAGTTCTCTTTTCTCTTTAGGCATTTGTAAAGATAAAAGCATATTATGATTAAAGAGGGAAATGTATTTTAACAAATTTGTAAATTTTATACACTCATTCAGATTTTTAGTTTGATCGGCCAGTGCTTTTCAGAATGCTTTTGCTTAGATTATGTCTTTTCAGGGCCATCTCTTCTCCAGCCTCCTATCTGCGTTCATCTCTTTTCTGTGCATCCGTGTCATGTTTTTCCTTTGAACACTTGTTTTAAAACACCAGGGGGAAGGTTTCAAGACCTTGAGCAACTCAAGACCTTTCAGCAACTATTCTTTCTGCTTTGCTAATGAGGGAAGCATGTGACTTACCCACATGCCTTGTCTTCTTGGCTTTTTATAATTAGGTTATCTGTAGCTTCAGAAATGCATTTATCGTATGTGCTTATTTCTTAGGCATTGGCAAATTAGTTGTCTCCATTTATATGCGAATGGACATCTGTGCATGTGTGTGTGAAATGCAGAGTGAGACCCAATTGAAATAGCTAGTTTTTAGCACCAAACTGGCTAAGTTTTTAAAGTAGGGTCTTTGTGAAGTTGGTTATTTACATAATCTATAAAGAGTCAGCAGTGACCATTTACCCAATTCAGAATTGTAAAAATGTAGGATTTCTAAAATTTATTTTTGTTTTTCATGTTCTTCATACTCAAGCTTTGATTTAAAGTGTTTTGATCATTTTTCTAATCTGTCAGAACTCACAAGCAGCTTATCTGTTCAGAACAGATCATAATTCTAATTTTTTTCTCTGTAATATGTGGTATTCAATTCAGTTGACTTCCTTAATTTTCTCAGTATTTATGTATATCAAGCATATCCATAACTTTGAAGAAATTACTGTCTAGCTATTGTATTATTCAGTCCTTTCTTAGAAAAAAAATTCTTTTGCCCTTCAGAGATAATTTTGGTATATAAGAAATATGAGAGCTTTTATCTTTGTCTTAGCGGGTATGAGATCCAGAAGTCCTTAAATTCCTTTCTAAATTTCAGAAGAGTTAATTTTTTAAATACCCCTTTACTTCTGAAGGGGGGAAAGAAATTGAGATTCCACCTTGAATCTTTTCTTCTAAAGATCATCACCTTTGTGCTGTTAGTGCATTTTAAGTTGGGTAATTTTTCAGGGTGCTATCATCTGCATTGTACAGTGCTTACCAGTGTCTTTGGTCTCTGTTGACAAGAGGACTGTGGTCACTACCCCAGTTGAAACAAACAGAAATGTCTAGATATTATCAGATTGGGGGGGGGGGGTTGGTGGGAAACATCACCTGCAGTTAAAGAAAGGAGATGAGATATTTCTCATCTTCACAGCTGTTATTTGCCTGTCAGTTTACCTATTTCCTATTCTTATGTGACTCTGAGTTGATACATAAGAGTAAAACAGAATTGTAAGACCAAAAAATGTATTGTGCTATAATCCCCCGCCCCTGTCTCCCTTTCCAGTACAAAATAACATTTCTTTTTAAAAATTCAAACAGGTTTTGAAATTTCATAGCTTAATTGAGTAAAGTAGGCATTGGGTATAGAAGCTTCTTAATATATTGAGGAAAGAAATGTCTATAGTTTAATAAGACTGAAGGGTGCCTGGCTGGCACAGTCAGTAGAGCATGTGACTCTTGATCTCGGGGTTGTGACTTTGAGCCCCATGTTGGGGCTTCAGTACGGAGTACTGAAAAACAAAAAGACTCAGTGTTCTTTTAGACATGACTATACACATTTAACACACACATATCTAGCCTGTCTACACTCCAAAAGGAATTCAGATAAACTAAAATTGAACACTGTAAAATGTACCAAGCAGATCAAAAAAGGTCAAGGTATAGAAAAAAACATAATTTCATGAATCTGTGGATAATGAAACTGTTGCTATAGTTGACTATTGTATTTAGTTCTGAGTTTCTGGACAGCAAAGAACAAAAGGAAAGATCGTTAGTTAATGTTATGAAGTAAGACAGCTGACCCATGAAATTATATACTGTATTGCATGCGATGCAGTACTTAACTCTCTTGTTCTTTTCTTTTTTCCAAGATAAAGTGAAATCTTTTCGTGCAGCTCTACAAGAAGAAGAACAGGCCAGCAAGCAAATCAACCCGAAGAGACCCCGTGCCCTTTAAATCAGCATTTGCTGCTAGAGGATCCCCAGAACCCACATTACTGTAACATACAGTGGTTCAGCTGTTAAGGGCCATTTGAAAGTTTGAAATTTTAAGTGTCTGTGGAAAATGTCTTGTCCCTTCACCTGAATGACATTTCAATTTTGTGAAACACTCCTTTGTCTACAAAATGCTTCTAGTCCACGAGGCACAACCAAGATTGGGAATAGTGAAGCATTTTGTTTCATTTACCCAAACAGTGATTTACTTTTGGAGATCCTTGCCAATTTTATTTTCTGTATGATGAAGTGAGATTGTGGACTTGATCCAGAGGTGAATAGTAGGGGGAAGCCACAGCATTTCCTTTAAATCGGTTGAATTTTCGTAGCAAGACTGAGCAGTTTTAAATCCTTTGAGTGCATGCATACCTCATCAGTGATTGTACATACCTTGCCCACTCCTAGAGACAGCTGTGCTCACCTCTTCCTGCTTTGTGCCTTGACTAAGGCTTTTGACCCTCAATTTCTGAAGCACAGCCAAGATAAATTACATTCCTTAATTGTCATTGTAAATTACCTTTATTGTGTGTACATTTTTACTGTATTTGAGACATTTTTTGTGTGTGACTAGTTAATTTTGCAGGATGTGCCATATCATTGAATGGAACTAAAGTCTGTGACAGTGGACATAGCTGCTGGACCATTCCATCTTATATGTAAAGAAATCTGGAATTATGATTTTACAACCATATAATGTGGTTATAATTTTCTTAGCATTTTCTTTGTAAAGAACTAAAATATAAACTAGTTGGTGTATAATAAAAAGTAATGAAATTCTGAGAAGAGTTTTATCTTAGGATAATACATATATATATGCAGTGTGTGTTCCAGTGTGGTATTAACAGGACTAATAGTGCAATTTGATCCTTACCAATACCATTACTTAAGTTAAAGTGTCCATTAGCACCCCAAAATGTACCTTTTAAATGTACTGGTAAAGGAAATTGGCTTCTGATGCATGAATATTTACATGTACACTGAAAGTAGTCCATAATAGAACTGTTAGTTTAAGCCAAGTGTAGACAGTACATCACTCCCTTGAAAAAGAATTAAGCTAAAAAAAGAGTTGACTTTGCCTTAAAAGGCAGATCGATCTAACCCAAGCCCCATCATCCGTTACCTACTATGTGATATTTCATCATTATTTGGTGAGAATCACCAAATCCTCACCAATAAATTGGTCTAGGGTATGCTGCTTTTTAAATGGTGGCACTATTTTTACAGATTGCTACTCCAAGGAAGAAAACTGGCCACTTTTCATGTAAATATTTTGTTAAAAGATTTATATATCTCTCTAGGAGTTTTCCCTTAGTTCCTAGGATAGAGTCCAGGAGTAGATTAACAACAAAAAGTCTCCCAAGGATGTCTTGTTTTGATTTACTCTAAGGAACTAATGCTCATTCATTTGGGCCAAAGGGAAGCTATGAATAGAGAGTCACATGAGCCAGATTCCCTACTTCATTGTTCATAGAAACCAGAGAGTACTTGTGGGAAATCCTACACCATGGTGAAATGCTCCTCTGTAAACTTGAAATCTAGAACAAATGTAGATTTTCACAATGTGCTTATTAATAAATGATATCTATGGAATGAGTTTTAGAGAATTTACTTCAGAACAATCACCTTTGTTTTGGAAGGGACTCAGGTTTTCTTGCAGTTGTAAGATAACGTTCTATTTGTGTTTATTTCAAAGAGAAGAGAAAGAATGGAGCAGTTACTGTGGACTTTGCAGCAGCTGCTTAAAAAGGTAGTTTTTGAGGCTAACCAACCTTCAGAGGACAATGGAGATGTGAACTTGCTCATTTTAAAGCACAGCAGATTCATCTTAATTTATTAAGTAAGATGGGTACTATCTCTGGAAGGTCTCCTTATGTTCAAATATGTTGCCTTATACTATAATGGCTTCATTCTGATAAGTGATCAAGGTCTATAGAAAATTGATACCAGAAAAGATGTTGGTGGTTATAGTCCAATCCTTCAGTTTTACAGATAGGGAAAACTGAAGGTCAGAAAAGGGACTAAAAGTCAGTTCATGAGGGAAGAGGGAATAAGAGGGAAAGCTGAATTAATTCTTAAAATTTTCCTATAAAGATAGAGATGGTACAAATGAATTTTGCAAAGTAAGTAGTTTTGTGATAATAAAGCCTGCTCTTGAGGTATATTTAATATTTATGTAACAAAAGTGGCTTGATGCAGTATTATTTAAAGAAAATTTTTTTGGATCTGGATTAAACATTCTTGACTTTCTCAGACTTCTTGAAAGCTGATATTCCTATTAAAAAGTAGGAATGTTTTACTATATCACTCTGAATCCAGATTTCCAAAAAAATCTGTTGAGGCAAACAACTTCCCTTCTAGGTTTACTCAGTGTACCTTTGTTAAAATAATTTGGAAGCAATCTTTCTATTAAGTTAGGTTTTTAAAAAGCCAATTATTAAGATATTTTTGTTAATTTCCTCATATAAATTATCAGCTACTGTAATTATTACAGGACATTAATAATGATTTAAACATAGTAGCTAATTAAGACTTGTTTATGGTATTTATTAAAATTCTCAACCTGACATTTTAAAACTTAAAAACATTTTAAAAATAGCCTAGAACAGTATGTGAAAAGGGACTGGAACTTTTAATTTTCCATAAGTCATGTGAATACTGGGAGCCTCTAGTTCTGGGAAAATGGCTGGTTAAGATTTTTTTTGTTTTAAGTAAGTTGAAGGGCAGAATTTTAACCTCATAGCCAGTTTTGATTTACAAAACCCTTTAGAATTTCGTTAAACCAGTGGCTTTCCCCAAGAAAAAAACCATACTGTCTTACAGTTGATTTCATCCTAGTTGAGCGTCCTGTTATCACAGTTGACGAAATCATGCCTAGGAGTAATGTGCCCGGCACCACCACACGGTGGCAGTAGCAGACTCATGCTTATCCAGAACTGTGAAGTAGCTTATGATGCTACAGGACAGCTTAAAGGTGTGGGCAGAGATAGAAGGTGTATAAGATGAACAGAAAAAATGAGAGAAGCAAAATAAGAAACAAGTGTTTTATTGTGCACATGAATAAAAAGAAACCGTACGGGGAATATGTAACTTGAGTTAAGCATATTTTAACTGTCTGTTTGAGGGACAAAGGCCTACAGAGGCCCTCATGGTAATATATAACATAGAAAATAGAAGAGTAACATCTTTATACAATAAACTGTTAGAAAATTTCTAAGTTTAAGTGTAAAGTTGTGCGTGCCTGCGGCTCTTAAAGATTACCGTGTAGAGACTGGACCCTGCCCTATGTTAAATATTAAAAACACCAAAACCAAAAAAAAAAAAAAAAACCAAAAAAAAAAACTTGGGTACTTAGAATTGACTTACTACCATAAAACTTCAGAGTAATAAATGGTGACAGTGGTAGTATTAAATCAAAACTAGTCAAGCACATAGTGTTCCAGTGGAGCAAAAGCATAGTTTATCTTCTCTGTTAGAAATGTATAATTGCGGTTTCTTTTTCTTGGGCTTGAAAATTCTCTTTTCCAGATACCTAAGAAAAATGTATACCTTCTGCGTTGAATCCATGTAGCAATCTGAAAAAAGAAACCAAAATGAGATGGTATTGAAAAGATAATTTATAACCTATAACAATGCATAGTTCCTGTACCATGAATCTAAAACAAACACATCAAACCTCTGAAACCCACCCACTCCTAACACCAGTCATTAAAGAAACTTTATTCTTCAATTAAATTTCTAAGATACATATTGGTTAAAAATCACATCATTTTGGTGCCTCTTTTGTCATAGCCTGTATGTCTTAAGTCATGGTGAATTTGACCAAATTATCTTAGACCTCCACTATCCAGGCATAAGAGCTCACTGGCACTTGTGAAGCTATTTGGAACTGGAGACTGAAGAGAGATGAATGGCTAATCATCCATGTCCATTTTTCCTCCCTGGGCTCACTATTACTAAGGTTCAAATTAAGTACTGACACATTGCTTTTCTCTGGATACCAATGTATTTATTGGATCCTAGTTAGCAAACTGCATATGCTTAATAACCTTGAAGAAATCTGGTGAGACTGAAAGAAAATAAGATGAAATATTTCTTTAGACCTGAGATTATTTTCAGGATGGTGACAGTTCAAGATGGATTCGAATGTCTGAAAATGGAAGATCGGTTCTTATGAATAATTTCAACTCCTATGACTAACCCCTGATAAAGACTCAGTAGTTCTGCTAGTCTGTCGATGTAAAATATAAACCCCATTTGTCTTAGTTATATAGAACTGTTTCCAGCTCAGAAAAGTCAAACCAATTCCTTTGGTAAGAATCTATCCTCATTTTTTATTCAGCTCCTAGAACATGGAAATTTTAAATATGAATCGGCTAAAATAGGCAAAAACTGTGCAGTAAGTGATGGTTTATTAGTTAGGAAATCAGTTTTAGTGATTGAAAACTGTGAGTATAGGTTAATAACTACCTGGGTAACTGAAGCCTTATTTTGCTTTCATACCACTTACTTGTTTAAGGAAAACAAAGTTTGGTCTGCATTGCCCAGATAGTTATGACACCCTTCTTTTATTTTAGGTGTGTAGAACTTGCCTCCGTCTACAAAACAAGTGACTATTTTATTAAACCGGTTGGTTAGAAATGAAAACCAGGTATGATTGTAAACTGGCATTATTTCATGTGTAGGATCTGTTTTAACAATAGCTATTCCCATCAGAGAAAAAGAATGAGATGCAACTATATCCATTATGCTGCTTCTACCTTCCAGGCTACTATGAAGACACACATTAAGATGAACTATGAATGGGAGTTGGGGGAAGAGGCTGAAGGGGAGGAGCACACACACCACAACACACATTGACACAGAGGCTATCTCCAGGCTCGGACTGTTCTTTATTACTGTTCTTAAAATGTTCATTCTGCTGCAACTAACTAGCCTCCATCTTCTACACCAAATACTATTCCATGCCATGGAAGTGCTATGCAATAACTCCAGGTAGCACCTTATACCGCTTAAAAGCCTTTAAATATCTAATCTGAGGGTGTCACAGTAAAGAAATGTAAACACCTTAGGAAAAAAGAAAAATGTAATTACCTGATAAAGTCATCTATGTCCATGGAACGGGCCCGCTTGTCACTAAAACCTGTGCTGGTTAGGATTTGCTGTATTTTATCTGCTATGCTGAAATCTTCTGGTATTATCTATCAATATAAGATTCAGAATAAATGAACAACATATCTTTAATGAAGTCACGTTGACTCTCTTTTGTTTGTTTAGCTCAGTAACTGATAAAATAGTCACCTTTATCTGCTTACCACAGTTTGAAAAGCCTATTTGTACAGTTAATAAGACTCGGACCACCAGTTATGCGGTGGTTCTTCACTGCATACCAGATACTCAGAAAACTGGATGAGTTACTCATGTATACTCCCCCTTAAAAATTCTGGATGGTCAGTTTCAGGATTAAGGTACTTTATGTCACAAAATAAATCAAGCTACAAACTAAATTTTAAAGCACGTGTTACTCCTTTAAAAATAATCTTGGCACAAATTTAATTTTACCAGCCAAATTTTCTCAAAGAAATAACCTCCAACCTTTGAGAATATTAAATATTTCATACCACATTTTTTTCTCCAAATATTTTTCTTAATCCAGTTTAATGATGTTTTATGACTTTGTCCATAAGAAGAGAAACTGAAGGTAGCAATATATTAAGCTATATAAGATCTGAGTCCAAAAATACAATGGAAATTTGCTTTTATCTTTCTGCTGTTTAATTAACTTGAATTAAAAAATTATCAGACATCACATAATTACTATATAGTTATGTGTAGGTGGGCTTACCCACATACAACATTGGTTAAAGAAAATGTTGCACAGATAATGATGATAAAGAGGCTCATAACCAAAAATCTATTAAGCCTATACTTTATTCTAATTATGCCAATTTCTGGATTAAAAAAAAAAAGTTACAGAATGGTAACTTTAAATCTGGAATTGCTACGTGAGCAACAAACAAGGAATGATCACAATTCAGAGTATAGCGAATGGTACATAATTTGAGCCGAACAAACTACACATGCCTAAAGCTTTAAGAAAATTGCGAGTCAACTGAATCTCTTTTCATGTCTAAGAACAACTGTACAGTTAAGCTTAGTGGTGTAATCCAGGCTGCTCAGCTCTGGTCCAAGAATATACCGCAATACTGACATATTAGGGTTCAATATTAAGGTTGTGTTAGTTAAATATCACTTTTAAGGATCACATGGAATGTGCAAAATTAGTAAGCTAGCGATGAAAAGGAGTAAGAAGTAGAGGGGCATTTTGAAACACAGCAAATCGAAACCAAAGAGACCACAGAAACTTTTTGCTTACAATATTATGGACCGAACAGTGAATTCTGTAGTTTTTTTCCAAAAGCTGTTGCACTGCACTTGACCTATAATATAAAGGAAGTGATATCACTATTACTCCAAAATCAGAGATTATAAATAATTTCCTTTCAGTTTATTATAAATTTAAATCTATGTTCTACATGGTAAAATTAAGGGACTAAAAAAGGTGTTAATATTTAAACTTGTGAAACAACCACAAAGTGGTTATATTTAAAAGGTAAAGTTTCCCAAGTAGGTCCCGTGCTGTCAGTGGCAGCCCGATGCTGAGCTAGATCTCACGAACCATGAGGTCACGACCAGAGCTGCAATCAGGAGTTGGATGGCTAACTGAGCCACCCAGGCGCCCCTTTTTGAAATTCTTAAAGGAGTTCTAGACTATCCACAAAACGTCACCTCAAAAAGAAAAAAAAAGTGAAATTACAGCTTTCAGAACCTCTTTTTTTCCCTTAGGCCTCAAATTGCTCTTACAAAGTTTTTTCCAAGTTAATAAAATTGCATCAATTTTTCATAGGTGTGGAAAGGACCCACTACCCCATTTTTCCAAGGAAAAATGAGACAGATGTGTGGTCAGTTTTTGGGTTTTTTTTTTTTTTTTCCGTTTTGCCAAAAAACCTGATCTAATTCCAAATTCCTAGGAATGTTCTTTGTTAAATTTTCCTGCCTTCCAGAGTACCAAGTTAGTGTAAAAGGCAAAGTATATCTGGACATGGATAATCTTTACACTTTAGGGTATCTGTTCAGGTATCTGTTACCAAATTCTAATACTTAGCAGTTTCTACAGCAATAGTCCTTCATATATCATAAAAGAAAAATTCTCACTTAAATGCCGCAGACAGTGTCTTGTTCTTCCTAACAAAGGTGATCCTTACTAGGCCATCCCATTCCTGAAACAGAAAATGGATCATTTGTTATAAAATATCGAACCTTGCCTATGTCTTCTAGGTATTGTCTTTTAATATATAAAACTGAAAAGAACCTTCTGGAGTTCTGTATTTTGATCTAGCTGACATGTGTAAAAAAGTAAGATATGTACTTGATTTTTGCACTTTTGTGCACTTCACTGAATATTTTATCCTCAATTTTAAAAATCAAAAAAAAATTATTCCACATCTGAATAAAGAATGTGACATTTATTAAAATCAAAGTACCATTTTCAAAAAACATGATTCCAAATAGGATTTAGAATATAGCCTATGCAACATCCCTAAATGACCCAGAAGAGGTAACTAACCAGTCCATTTACCACTGGTTACTGACCACACAAGAAATCATGTTTTTATCCAAGCCGACTGCAGTATGGTTTTACATCCAGTGATCTAACTACTTAATTGCAGAAACATGAATTTTGATTAAAAACTGCTACCCAGAAGATTACTCAAATCCAACTATTTTTATTTTATCTTGTTTTCTATCTTGTTTATTCAAATTTTTATTTGAATAAGTCAAATAGATACAGGTTTTCCATAGTTATACTCTTTAGTATGCAATTATGCACTGACATTCTATTTTTTTTTTTTTTTTTTTGAAAGACAGAGAACGTGTAGGAGAGGGGCAGCAGAGAGACAGGGAGAGAGAATCCCAAGCAGGCTCCAAGTTGTCAATGCAGAGCCTAGCATGGGGCTCAATCCCATGAACCATGAGACCATGAGCTGATCCGAGATCAACAGCCAGGGGCTTAACTGAGCCATCAGGCAGGCACCCCTGCAATAGCATTCTAATCTGCACTTTTTGCAAACATTTTCCATGCTTTTTTGTGCTTTTCACAATGATCTTACATCCAATTATTCCATCTACTCAATTACACAGATGTCATAATTAGCATTTTCCTGCTTGGACATTTAGGTTGACTCAATATTTTCTGCTGCTAGAGACACACATCTCCCAGCTTGGTCTTTTTTCCGACTTTATTGAATGACCTAGTATTTTAATCTCACCTGAAAATTGATA